CAACACTAGACCAGATGTAGCGTATGACGTTTCCCATTACGCCTCCTATGGTACCAAGCCCGAAAAGAGTCACCTTGTAGCGCTTAACAAGATCATACGAACTTTGAAGTCACAGGANNTCCAAGCTAACAGATGGGGATTCCTGGGACGAATTAACCCTTGTCGTGTTCACAGATGCCGGTCATACGTCAAGACCATCCGGCCACTCTCAAGCTGGTACTTTGATATTCTGGGCCCCGAAAGAAGTTCTAAAGGGCAAACAAGTTAAAGCAGTACTAGCCGAGTACGGTAGCGCAAAGATAGACCGTGCAGTGTGGAGTAGCTATGCTAGCGAGTTGCAAGCTGCAACCATATCCACAGACTCAGCAGTTAGTGTCCTCCTGTTGTACGAGCAGATACTTTGGGGATTGAAGGCTAAGGATGTGAAGACGAAAATTACGAATGGTCAGCAACCTCGAGTTTTGGTGACAGACAATAAGGGGCTCTATGATTCCATACAGGTAGAGAAACCCTCAACCCGTCAAGGCGTTAAGATGCAGTCTCTTGTGTGCCAAATTCTTTACGATTTGGTTGTGGACCATAGTTTTCAAACGTTCTGGGTTAATGGTGAGCATCAGTTAGCAGATGGTTTAACTAAGTTGAGCTCCTCCGGCGGCAAAACTGAGTTGGTTCGAGATGTCATGCGTAACTCCTCAATCCGAATCACGTACTGCGAAACATCCGGCCGCAAGGAGAAACAGGAATTGCATAGGTTAATACCTCCTAGGCCCGCTAACCAACACCTTGATTCATCAATAGATGTTTAGGTACGGTTATCTTTTGGCCTGCTTTTGGTTATGCTTGCTCACAAGCATCTTCGGATGCAACTGCTCCATGGTGGTATGAGTGTTTAAAACATTTCGATATCCATCGGAGCTGTGGCAACGATGTTATCACAGAGTATGCGTTGCTGTGCGAGCTGATGTGGTCAATTCCGCGGACAGCGGGGGTGTGAAAGAACTAAGGTCTGAAGCAGTCTTGATTGCAGGTGTCCGACTTCTTGACCATGTCGCCACTTCGGTGGCTCAAGAATGCATTCCTTTGAGCTCGACTTGGTGAGCGGAAAAGCTAAGTGCTTCTACAGACATGTTCGATGTAGTATCTGTTCTTCAGCTTCCAGCTTTCATCCTTCATAAGGTCGCACTCCTTTCAGGTGCTCTACATTTGGCATTAGCTGAGTGTCTAGTTGCCGTGCTGTCAACACCCGTAGTGAGGCTTCCTAGGCTTCCAATCCTTTTGGAAAGCTTTGAGAAACTTATTGTTCAATTTGAATGTTGCAGTGGTAGCGCAGCCCAATGGATCTTTGCCATGCGGATGGCGCTCAGAAGAATCTGAAAGCGCTATGCAGCTCTCAGCACTTCAAGAGCTACAGGGACCTCCTAGCTCAGTGCAGGGTCCTATGTAATCTTGTCTGCCTTGGCGACTTTGTTGGTGAAAGTGCTTTCGCAGAGGATGACGACCAGCAGGAAGAACCGATGCCAGGTGACGACGGCGCGGCTGAGGCCGCACTTCCTACGACTCTTGTGGGTCGAGGCTCAACTTTGACTGGCCGGCATGGTCCCAGGGCACGTTCAAACGGACCCACGCAATTTTTTTCGCACCGGCTTCGACTATCAAATGCCAGCAAGACTAGAGAGCCGGAGCAGTTCCAAGGCAATCTGCCCAGTGCCCCTGTGTGAACAGGCGCCCCGACCCCAAGTGCTTCAGAAAGTACGCGGAAAGGGTGCCAGCTGGAAGGTCTCGTTCAAGGTTCTTTGGGGACGTTCCGCGCGACGAGGATTCATCGGGTGTCTTCCATGAAGGGCTTCTTCAAGCTGGACCTTGGCGGCAAACCGCGAACCATGCTCGAGGCGACGGATCAGATTGACCGGCCGGCCAAGCGATGCAACGAAGGCGTGAATTCATGATTCCAGACAAATAGGGAGAAATGCAGGAACCTTTCGGAGCACTTGTGCACGAGTCCGCAACTGCTTCAACACCTTTGGGAGAACAGGCTCCAAGAGCACTGAGGCGAGGCAGATGAAAAAGATTGCCTGGGCCAAGGCTGAATCCGTGACTCGTGGTGTCAAGCGAGTGCTGGGTCGCGGCCGTGAAGGCGAAGATCGAAGTTGGTTTGTAACATGTTGTAACCAATGGTGGCTATGAGTTCGACCGCCGAGGCCGTCGACCATGCCTTCGAGCAGTTCAGCGGGAAGTTCAGCGTCCAGAGGTTCAAGGCCATTGGCGCAGGCAAGGATGACAGGAGCGAAGAATCCATTTACATAGCGGCGCTGATGCGCAACTTGTTAATGAATGCTCATGCTTCTCAGCAGGCAGACCATGCTTGCCTGGTGCTTCGGGACGAGGTGTCAACAGCAACTTCGTGAGGCAGAGCATCATCCACGACGAGCCTGAAGCTATCTCACTTTGGACAGTGCTTGTGAGAACGCCCGCGTTTTTCAGGCGATTTGCGTCCACCTTCACTAAGGCTGCTGTGTCTCGCTACAATCCTGGCTCACCTTTGCTCTCGCTGGGGTCGCCTGGGCTGGGCCCATGGTCATCCCCCTTCGGGCCATGACAGCGAAGCTGCGGTCTTGGCTTGACAGGACTTCATGTTGTTTACTAATTTTTGTGTCGATATGGGCGAACGTGTTCGCCTCGCTCGTGGACGGCGATGTGGCGACTTTGTCAGTGGCTGTGGTTTTGCACTGATTGGCAGACAGTTGGCGCAATATTGCTCCTAGGCAGCAAGCATGGATCATGATCAGTTCCGCCTATATTTTGTGGAGAGTACTCGTTGAACAGTGGCTTCAGTGTCGGGTTATGTCCATTCTCTTCAGTTGCGACATGTTTACCAAGCTGGTTGACCACTGTGGCCTTGGCGAGTCTCGGCTCCTAGGCTTCTTCAGTCCGAATGAAAAAGCAAAAACTGCATCACCGATGCCAGCGAGTCTTGCTCACAGGACATTCTTTTGAACGTTCACGCCATCCAAGCAAATGCCACCGCCGACTACAACAGCTCCGGGTCAGCTCAAGATCAAATTTCGGCGGCCGTCGGCCACTGGCGTATTCGGCGTATTATCAAGATTCCGAAATGTGCCGACGTCGCACGGATTTTGGTGTGCAGGAATTTCATGGAGTGTCTATTGTGCGGTGTGTTGTGGAAGTCGGTGAGGACTTGGTGGGCTACCGCGAGTGGCAGCTTCCCATTTACAAGGCCGAACATAGTTCACCGTGTTCCGCCCTGGTCAGTTGCTATTCATGCTCAGCGTGCCGATTGGCATACTCTGGCTGGGGCAGCCCAAGCCTGGCTCTTGACAAGACTTGCAACAGCGATTATGGATCCCTCCAGATACCCTTAAAATGGGCACGGGTACCTTCCAGAAGCCCCGCCACGTGCCAGCAAATACCACGCACCAGGAGTTTGAGTTCCTGCTGAGGGAAGTGCCCATGGACATGGGCAGCAGGGCAGCGACTTCAGTTCAAGCCGTCAAAAAGCACAGCTGTGCAGATGCAGACGTTATCCCGACAGACCCTGGCAAGTGCTCGGTTGATGCGAAGGGTGACCCAAGAACGCATGGCGGCGAAATGCTGGCTCAGACGCAAGCTTCCAGCGAATGTCAAACATACCAGTAGATCGAATTGGTTGGTCACATAGAGTCGGCTTCCATAAATATAGAGCCGCTAGCATGCGTCTTATTTCGTCTTCTGATTTGCGGGATCATTTCTTGTAAGCAAATTCAAAAACTCAAGGATTGGTCCTTTACAGTTGTAGAAGCTACATGTTACCTTGTTCAAATGCAACAAAATCGGCATCACACATCGTCATTCGGTGTAAGAGGATATTAACAATGCTGTTTACGAGGAAAAAGCGCTCATGACCACAGTGCCATGTCCAAAGCCATCAACGTGTTGCATATGGCCAAACAAAGTTCTGCTGGAGAAGGAGGCAACACATCAAATGGACTTGCTTTGCTTCGATATTTCTGTGAATATATTCATCTTGTGAGTCGATTGGTGACCTTCTCCTACGCAGGCTCGCGCGCAAGCCCCGTCACTGTGAGAATTATTTTTTTGAAAGCAGCACCGTGCCCATTCCGAGCACGCGCTCGCAGAGCCTGATTTCTGCTGAAAGCAGCACATGCCGGTTGCAGGGCGCACGTATGTGCGCGGAACTTAGTTTCAGCTTTTCTATCACCCTGCATACAGTTCCCAAGCCTGTTCTCTGAATTGCACATGGACACAAGAAAACTGGGCACGAAAGTTGAAAAATCACAAAGGCCCGAACATCTTCACCAAATCCTTCCGGTGTTGCAACTTTGGCAGGCCTGGCGACAACGACACTTGGAGTTCGTGAGCCTCGAGAATCACAAAAAACAACGGCTCGCCCAGCCTCAATTTCCATTGTCACGCCCTTGCACGACCAAATAGGAACTGCACAATGTCGAACAATCAGATCTGCATGGGGGTCACACCATCGAAAGACATAAGAATCCAAGACTATGTTGGTCGCTGGGACCGAACTATGAACGAACGTGTTGGCGTGGAGCATCGACCAATTGCAGAGGTTCACTCATCCATTGGTGAGACCCGTTTCGACCGTTTCGACCGAGGTGGCAAAATAGTTCTGCTGATTGACCTGGTGACTTTGTGTCTGTTGGGTGCAAATCTTCAAATCAGGGGCTCTAGAAAGAGACGATGTCGGGCAGGATTAGTGAGGATCCAACATGGATTTGGAAAAGGACATCTGAACGCTTCTCATTGGTGGATGCAAAGCAGATGATGAGCCAGCCATGTCCCGCTTCAATGGCGAAGTTGGGCAGGCTTTCAACTCTGGATGAAGTCCCTGCGCTGGATCTAGCTTTGCGTTGAAGCTGAATCGCAGACAAGTCACAGCCTACGGCAAAGCAAAGGAGAAAATTGTTTTGAGTTCGAGTTGAGTGTGTGTTTTGCCAAATTTGCTTGCACTAGGGAAGCCTGAGGCGGCACAAACTCCCGGGCAGATGTTTATGGCTATGCGACAAAAGGGCATAAGGCTGCCATGAAGGCTCGCGTGACAAAACTTAGACCTTGTTCGAGGTGCCTGCAAGACTCTGACATGATTGCAAGGCCAACTTGCCAACGCCATCTCTTCCGAGGGCATTACACATCGGGTCACGGAGCCAAGTTTTTTTTTGGCGACCCAGAAAGTGCAACAGAAAGGGCAACTACTTTTCGCATAGAAGACACTTTGTGTAAAGCCGTCGATAACTGCAGGCAAACGCTGTACATCAGCGGTTCGTGGGACAGCTTTGGGTCTTACAAGGCAAAGCTGCTGCACTGCCGGACATTTGCAGATGCAGTGTGCTGATGCGCGTGACCAAGCTAGGAGTGCGTTCTGGCTAGGGACTGGTTGGCTCGGGCAAGTATACTTTCCTGATGCACTCCTACTGGCAGTGCGTAGCTAATAGCCTGCGATAGCTCGTTGAGGTAAAGCCGAGCAGGTCTAAACCATTGCACGCGCTTGTCCAGGCCATGGATGGAGGGAGGCTCACCCTGCAGAAGGGAACTGGGACGTCACAGCCTGGTCTGTAGTTTGACAGCCTGCAAGGTATGGAAAGTACACCTGCACCATTGCTGTGGGTGACAGCCTTTGCGAAGAATTCCAGTTGTCGTGCACCCAGGACAATTTGGAGGCGAGCGGGGTCGTTTTATGCAAGCACAATTAGTTAAAGGCGAAAGGAATCAGAGCTATAAGTGTCATGCGTTCACACAAGTTCAAGACCTTGCAGGAAGTAGATTGGTATGACAAAGCTGTGCAACGAGCCGCTGGGATACTTAAAAAAACGCCCTTTGTGAGCAAGGGTGCAGCCCGTGCAGCCGCAGCCTGGGAGGTGATCCACCCTCTGATCAAAAAGGCTGACAGTACAGAGCAAATCGTTGGCCCCGATTTCGCAAAATCCTCAGTGGACTTGAGAAAATGCGGAACAATTGATTGGCTTGTCTCGAGGCCGGAAGGGGGCTCAACTTCTTCATCGATGGCCGAAAGGATGGCGTATCACCAGGGACACTGTATCAGATCGACTTCAGGCTGGGTCTGTAGAAGCCGTGGGATCTTCGGGGCTGCTTTGGTCATCTTTGCTGTTTGTCAGTTGGATGGATGACAAGAAGACCATCTCTTGGATGCCGGTGGAACCTGAAGCGCTCGAGGACACAGATCGCAAAGCCTGTTGTGTCTGAAAGACCATGTTCGAATGCCAGGTTCAAGATGGACTGCGTGACCGTCTCGCTTTTTCAGAGCAACATGCGCCTTCTGAGCAGTGCCGTCAACTGATGTCAGGCCGGAGCAGCTCGAGGGGTAGCTTGTGTGATGGCTACGGCCTCGGTCAAGGCAAGATGGTTGGCTTCCCTGTGGCACATGGTGCATCCTAAGCATCCTAAGAATCCTCAGCTTTTGCATTACCGCTTTCCGGAGGCAATGGTAGCCGATGCTGCAACAATCACAGCCAACGATGCGTGAGCATGAGAACGTCTCGATGCAGCGGCGCAGCCATGCGGTTTCACAGCCGTATGTTCCGAGAGCATACACCCACACCAGCATTTTTGTTGTCTTCCGTCCTGTACAGTATCCAGCAGCGTTGCGCTTGCGTAAGTGTGAGCCTTTTCCGCGAAGCGCGTTCGCGGATGGGGGCGCGGGCAAAACACACTTCATACTTGACAAAGTTGTGTCTCTGCTGTCCTTGTCTAGGCCTGCATGGCGTCAGGCCAGGCCTTTAGGCCCTGCATGGCAGTCGTTTCACAGCAAGATTAGGTAACACGGCACAATCACGAACATCAGTCATAGTGTCATCCTTCGAGCAGACTGATCAGTATAAACACGTGAGCTGAAGTCAGCTTGCCAAAATTTCAGCTCGGGCAATTAGCGCACAGTAGCTGAGCATTTCAGCAGACCATGGGGCCGGACGGCGACGTCCAGGTTGGGTTGACAGATCAGGAATTTTACATGACTTGGTGTTCTGCAACGCTGCAGGCATGTGGAGTTCGTTTGGCATCTGCGCTGCGAGCACTCCAGACGCAGGTGTGCAATATGCCAGGTTGTAAGAGGCCGCAGACTCTAGACTGTAGACCATTATGAATTGTGCTGGTTCAAGCCTGAGGCGACATCCCATTCGCAATTTCCACATCTGTGCTATTAGGGCAACTTGGGCCTAGACCCGTGGCAAAGTGTTTGAGCCGGTGATGGGCTGCCACTCACCAGGGCCATCCAGGGCGCAGCTCATGGCCTTGGCTTTTGGCGGGCGCTGGTGTCTGGCAAAAGTGGAGTTGTGCTCAGGTCATTTGTAAGCAACACTTGTGCTTAAGTGGCAGCATTCAAGTTTTTCAGATTCAGGATGCATCAGTAGAGTTTGTTCTGAGACGGAAAGACTTGCGCATCTACAACCGGCCGTGAAGCCTTTGGATGCGCTAAGATGGCTTCCACATTCTGATGAGCAAACTTGCGAAGAAGAAGAAGAAGCTGAGAAGGATGATCATGTTTTTTTGTGTTTCCTCACTCTCACAGTTTTTAAGAAGTCTACGTTCTCCTCGCCCTGCGTGCATTGCTTAACCACAGAGTATTCAGCCCAACTGCAGAGTATTTCAGCAGTGTCCAGCCGCAGAGTATCCCTGCGGTGGGGACCAGGAGCGGCTGCAGAGATTCTTTTCCTTCAACCCTTTTTTCCTCTTCTTTTGCCTTCGTAGCCAGTGGGCGGCCAGCCGCACCCTGAGCCGCGGCGTTCCTTTCTAAGTTCTCATTGCTGCTCGTGCCTGACTGCCCGGGGCAGCCAGGCCGCACCTTGAGCAAGCGCTGGGTCTCTGATCAATTTTGGCCTCTTCTCTCAACCAGAGAGTTTTCCTGCCGTGCCCAAATTCAAAGTCTCCCTGCTGCGATGCCCAACGGCAGAACATCTCTGCAGCGCCCAACCTCAGAGCATCTCTTCTGTGCCAAGTCCAAGGTGACCCAATGTCTCCTTGCATGGCCCAACCCCGGGGTATCCCTGGAGCGTGCAAGCCACTCGCAAGCCTAGAGCACAACTCTGAAAAACCCAAGGCTCGCACAAGCCGCCCCACCACCCCAACGGTAGTGCTTGGAATGAACAATTGTCTTGTCTTCACGCTGGCACAACTTTTCAGAATTCCGTTGTTGGTGCATGCTCCAACTTGTTGCTGGAAATAGTTGATGATGTCCCGAAACCACGAAAGGTAAGTAAGGGTGGGGATGTTCGAAGTAGATGAATGTTTGATGTGGGCTTTGTCGTTTGCTGCTGTAGCTTGTCTTCCGTCATTGGTTGGCCTCAAAAACAGGTGTCATAATATCATAGGCGTCTGGCCACGATCCTTTGAAGAGCTGTATGCTACATCATGTCACCAAGTCAATGTATTAATTTCCCAGCACAGGGTGTCTTCTAACTCCTAATTACCAAATCAGAATTGGGCTGCGACATACGGGAGCGAGATCCGGGAAGTTGTTGCCAGGGCCTGTTCTGCGACATTGCCATATCCTCGGGTTCTGAGCAGCATGTTGCACACCAGGCCGACCCATGATGGGTCATTTCTAGCATTATCTTCCTTTCGCAGCATGTGCTGGAAAGAGTCCTGTTTTCGCCCGCAGGTGGTTTTGGCCTCCAGGAGCAAGGTGCTCCGTGACCACATTTTGTCTCAGAGCAGAGATCAGGCTGCCAGGGTTTCCGTGTCCGTCAAGTGCCAGACGTTTGATGTCCAGGGCTCGCCAGCCCCAGAGCTGTCCATGCGCGGAAGCCTGGCTTTTGCCCGACATGTCGACATGTCTGCGAGAAGCGGCTAGCACTGCGTGGTGTGACTTCAATTCGCTGTTTCTGTTACCGCTTGGAGCCCCAGGCCGCCGCAGCCTTTGGCAATCCGAGTCAGCGAGACTTTGGAAGGTCAGCTTGAAGCTTGCAGCGAGGCCCTAAACCTGGTTGTCAGCCTGCTAGCAAAAGGCATTATGCCAAAATGTGAGCTTTCTTGCCACGTTCGTTGAGGGCCATTGCCTTGCAGGTGCAAGCCTTGCTGGATCGCGCGTACTGCGAGGATGGCTTGGAAGGCGTTTCCGGTGTGCAGGCAAGCTGTTCTGCTGTCAGCTCTGCGTCAGCGGTCGTTGTGGGCAAAGGCCTCGCAGCTTTCGGCGGCATTGGGACTAGGACAGGAGGCTAGACCAAATGCCTGATGCTCATTCTGTGAATGTGGGACTGTGGCTTGCTGGAGGCGTCGCCTCTCTCCATTGGCCTGCAAGCTCTGCAAGCAAAGGCGAGGTCCAGGAAGCAGTCGCGAGTTCCACTTGGGGGGGTTACAGGGCCTGCTGTGCGACATTCTTCTGACAGTGGGCGCTGAGCACATACCGGCGCATCAGGCGCTGCTTGATGTGATGCGTGTGCGTAATCTGGCTTCCACACCCCAGTTCATGCACAGAGCCTCAATCCGTCGAGTACCTGTAACAAACATCATCAATTTGCTGAATCACTTCCTCTTGAGGACTGCTGGACAGTGTAGGGCTTGGGCTGAAGTGTAATACTTGAGATCAGCGTGTTTGAGTTTGTTAGTTTGTTGGAATGCTGGCGTTCCTGGCTGAGGCTTGCTGCATTGCACATTGCTGCTTCTTTCCGAGGTGGTGCTGGCTGCCACATCTTCTGGTTTGAAGAGGCCACGTCATTGGCCTGCCATGTGCTTTGCATTCACAGCTAGCCGACAGCAGCCGAAGGCTTATCCTGGATGGTGCAAAGCAACTCTGCTGTGAGACCTCAGGTTCCCAGGCAAGCTCTTTGCCGGGTAAAGTGGAGCGACGTAGAGCCTGATATGGCCTGACATGGCAGGCAAGCTTGCCTTGCAACACCTTTGAACTGGAAATGCGTGGCATCAAGCACGCAGAGGCCGGGTCATTTTAGGCCTGGGTTGCTCTCACAGTGACAGTGGCCTTGCAAGAATGGCTAAGGCCATTGCCGTTCTGGTGGAGTTCCTGTATGGCAGCCCTGCCTGGACGCAGCATGAAGTCTCAAGCGAGGCAGGCGGGTCGTAATTTGAGCCAGGGCTAGAAAGTGAGATTGGGAAGAGATGGAAAGAGTAGTCGGAAGCGAAAGATGAAGCTCGAATTTGAATGCAGCATAAGCCGGCCCCATGTCAGGTTTGCACAGACATTCTGCACCTCGCCTCAGAGCTGCGTCTCCCAAAACTGCAGGACGCTTTGGTTGGTGTTTTACTGATTCTGAAACAGCATTCTTCATTTCGTCATGCAAGCCCAGCATGCCTGGTTGCTAGAGTCGTATATATGAGGGTAGCAAGATGCTCCCAAACCAACTTAATGCCAGACCCTGGGAACTTCGGGAATTAAAAGATTATGCTCGCAATGCTGATGCCGACCAGGCTCCTCCACGACAAATCTAGAAAGGGAAGATGAGTGTCATAGAGGCCTCAGGCTCAACTGAGAAGTGTTTCTTAACCAAGGTAGGTATTGGTAGATCCAAGACCCACAAGTTCCGTGCTAATTGAAATCCAAGACCCTTCCTCTAGAGATTAGAACAGTACAGTTAGTTCATACAAAGTTAAGAACTCACAGACAACAAACTATCCAGCCAGCCCGAGCTTTCTGATTGTTTTTCAATCAAGGGCACCAGGGTTCCGGCCAGCAGCTCTAGCCACAATTGTGAGATATGGTGAAGTTCTTGTAGCGAGCCGAGTGCTATGCCTGGGTCAATGGCCATGACGGTTCACATGCTTTCTCTACGGGTTGTCCTTCCTGGTCTGCCCCTGCTTGGCGAAGCCGCATAGTGCCATATCACGCTTAGCAGGATTCCTCGCTTCAGGCAGTGGGCTGCTAAATTGCTAAATGGGATACATGTACGATAGGGCCGGGTCATCATTGGACCCAACAAGTCTCCTATTTATTACCTTCGGGTTAGCACTTTCAGGATCTGCGGACGTGGGTTCTTCCCAGCCCGTTTCCTCAATCCATGTTGTCCTCGTGCCGCTCAAAGCTTGAAATGTGCAACGTATCGAGCGACACTTTCTGCAGCTGCAGAAGTCACCTGGGTAAGCCGTTAGGGCTGAGGCCAGGCTGTCCGGGACAGACCCTGGAGAGATTTTTACCCTGGAGCGGCAAAGGCAATTCTCGAAAAACTGCACTCAGATATCGATTGCTTCAATTTCCGGTTCGCAAGGTCTGGATGCAAATTTATGCTGGCAGGTGGTATAGAATTCACTAATGCTCATTGCAGAAATGCCATTCCGTATCGATTTCCGAAATTCATTCATTTTCAGTCAGCCTGGAACATTGCTTTTCAGTAGTTTTGTCGTGAGAAGCATGTGCACCAGG